TAAATATGATTTATTAATGTATTATGAGAATAATATATTAAAGGAGAAATCATATTGTTTAATTAATATTAGTCAATAATTAATTGGTAATTAGTTTTGTGACTAAAAGAGATTAATTAAACTTAAGGGACTGGAATTGTAATTATAGGATAATTGCAATTTGGGCCATGGATTGCCTTGTATCAAGGGTTGGATGAATTCTATGAGGAAGCCCATAAGGAAATCGTCCAAGGGCTTGATTAAAAGGAGTCTATGGGTTGCTTAGGGCTTAAGCATCCAAATTAGGGTTTCCTTGTTAGATAACCCTAATAGCCCAACTATATAAAGACCCCTTAAGGCTCAAAAACGTGGCTAAGCTTCTTGTAAGGGTTTACACACATTTTTGGCAGCCTCCAACCTCTCTCCTCTTCATCCTCTTGCTTATGGTGTTTGTGAGCCATTAGAGGAGTGACACTTGTGACTCTAAGCCTTCCAAAGTCAATTCAAGGAGGAATTGGGATTGTTATTGCTACATAACAATCAAGGTATGATCTTAAACCTAATTAAATATTAATATGATTACTTGCATGCTAGAATTAGGGTTTATAGTCTTGGATTCAAAGCATGTACAATAGAGAAACCTAGATCCAAGCATTAGGGTTTGTATGAGCACATAGGATGTCTTATGACCAAAACCCATCACAATCAACATTGGAGAAGGCATTAATTGTAGAGTCAGAAAAGGCATGAAGGACATGTGTGGAATTGCGTCGAATAAGAAGCCCAAGAGAGTTCGTACCCCCGAAGATACCGAAGTATACGTTTGACTGCTGATCAATGATGATCCGTCGGTGCATGCATAAATTGGCAAACTTTGTTAACAGCAAAAGCAGTGTCTGTGCGAGAAAGGGTAGCATATTGCAAGGCACCAACAATTTAAATGGTACTTCATTGGATCATCAAACGGTGTACTAAATTCCCGGGTGATTTGCATTGTCGACGACATAGGTGAAGGCATTGGTTTGGCATCGGAAAGACCCACCCGACACAATAAGTCAAGAACATATGGTTGTTGGGACAAGATAATTTCTGATCCACTCGAGATAACTTCAATCCCAAGAAAATGATGTAAGTCACCCAAATCTTTTAAGGCAAATTCAGATCCAAGAGTGGAGACTAGGATTATGCTTACTCTGCAAGGTGTGTCTTCTCATTATACTTACCGGTGTGGTAATTTATGTGTGACTGGAGGGTCTTATTCGTGTTATTGACCGGAGGGTCTCATTTACACTAGTGACCGGGGGGTATTATTTTGTTATTGACTGGAGAGTCTTATTTTCATTATTGACCAGGGGGTCTTAGTACATTATTGATCGGAGGGTCTTATTTGTTTATACTGTGATATGTGTTACGTGCATACTATCTTTGTGACGTATGTTGTCATATTATTCTATGTATATGTTGATCTTATGTGCTTACAATGAGATATGTGGTATCATGCATTCTGTCTTGTGATTCATGATGTATAATATCCTGTGCGTTATTGAGATAGGACCAGAGGGTCCAACCTGAGCCATGAGACCGGAGGGTCCTCACTGAGACACATGACCGGAGGGTCCTTATCGAGATATAGCCATGAGAGGCTAATTATTTGTGTGTGGTATTTTAGGGAACTCACTAAGCTTCGTGCTTATAGTGTTGTGTGATTTGTGTCTCAAGTACTGTAGATTTTGGGAAGGCGAAGGCTTGATTGTACACATCCGTCGGCTGATAGAGATTTGAGGACTTTGGGATACTCTAATGTTATCATGGAAATAAATTACAATTTATGTGATGATGTGGATTTATGCGTAATATTTTGAGAATTAAAAATGAAAATTTTATTTGCAAAATTTAGGGCGTTACAGAAGCAATCCCGACAAAACAAGTAAATAGAATTTACATACTAGACTCTACACTTCCTAATACTAAGCCATGCATACTATAATCACACATGTTATAAGAAAAGAACATACACAATAGTATAACGTATTGAGAAACTCACGTCGAATATAATGTAGATCACAACAAGCACTCAAGGCACTTCCTTTTTCGCTATAGAAGCGTTTTAGAGTATTAATAAGAAATCTTAGTCTATCATTTAAAGTAGTTAGTCCCTAGTTCTGATTCCAATTTTTAACCCCAAAACAACTGTCTCTTCAAGACCATTTTTTCTCCCCTTAAACCCAATCAATCCGGAATGTTATTTCATATTCAAAAATTCCATCTCCATACCTATCAATGGATATTGTACAATAAGCCTACTTATTTTTCTATAATTTACTATGAATTTTACCAAACAACATATAAATGCAACTATATTTTGACTAATAAGTGAAAATCACAATTTTCACCCAAGTTAGGTTCATCAATAGGTGAAGGAAAATATCATGGAACTATTAGATTAAAAACCTGAACATTGGAAATTGACTTGCTCAATTTCAATATTTCATGGGCAAGAACGAGCAAAATATATAATTCCCCAACTTTGTCTTCTTGGGTTAATTTGGCTTCTTAACCCATTAATACATAACTAAACAACCCCCAAAGTTGGAAACCATTGACTTAATAGTGGATACGATGTGTTGAGTCTAATTGTCAATTAAATTTCAAACCATTACCCAAAGTATGTTGTTTAAAAGAGAAACTCAATGTGCAATGCTATAATGGTAAAACCATGAGTTTTCTAGGTTTTATGCTTCTACTAATGATATAAAGACTCAAAGCTACCAACACGGAGCACCACCCACTGCCAATCTAGCATAGTGGCTAATGGTGGTCGACGATGATGGCCATGGCATCCATTGTGATGATGATTCTTGATGAAAGTTCACAAGAAAAGAAGAAGGAAAATTGAATGAATTTGGATGCTTGCTTGAACCAAGATTAACACCACCAAGAAACCTCTATTCTCCTCATTATCGACCAACTCCAACGACCCTTCCCTTCTTGATCTCTGTCACGATATCAACCTCTCTCTCTATCTCTTTTATTTGCTTGGATCCATGATCACTAACAGCGTAGGGTTTTGTTGCTGTCCCGACCTTCCTATCTTTGATTTTACCTCCCTAGATAAGAGGGATTATTTCTACAATTTTTGAAGAGTATAGATACAGGACCATTTTTGCTATTTTGTCTTTTTATATATATAGTTAGGTATGTTTTTAAAGCCTTATAAGATTAAATTTGATTGAAAAAACAAGTCTTCTATTTCATTTCGCAAATATGCGGACAAAACAACTCATAAAAACACCCAAATGATATTTGAGAGACAAAACTGTAAAATTGGTTTGGTTTTTTAAAAACTTTGGATAGGGTCCAAAAGGTTTTCAAGTTGTATGGAAGGTCCAAAATCAAAAACTTTCTTTGGTTTTAGTCCCTAAAAGACTTGAAATGACTTTTATGCCCTTTTAATTTCTTTTTAAAATTTTCTTTATTTATTTTAATTGTTTTATAATAAAAAAAAAAAAGGAAATGGGCCCTACAAGCTACAACACCCCGGCTCATTTCTTTCTCCCTCTCTCACTCATCAAAAAGTCATCGGCGTCAAAATTGCTCTCCATTCTCACTCACCTTTCTCGTCGAGAAGCCCTAACGTCGTCGCCCTAATGTCGTCGTCGATCGCCCAGATTTCTCGCCGCCCTTCATTGTCGGTAAGTATCTTACTTCTCATCACCTCTTTTCCCCCTCTCCTTCTTGAACCAATGGATTCACGTCTTGAAGATTGAAACCTGCCATCACATAACCTTGATGGTAAAACCCCATTGTCAGACATCTACAAGTTTTCTATCATTTCATCTTCAAGAATCTATCTCCTAACCCCATTGTCGGCATCCTCCAGTCAATTACGCACCCTCATGATGATGAGTGAACCCCACTACATGTTTCCTAAACACAGCTCCGATGAAACCCCCTTCCCCTTCAGGATGTCAAATTAAACTTTGAACTATGTATCGCCTTTCTAGAGAAGTTTTTCAGGTTCGGTGAAAATCTAATTTGCATAGAGAACTGAGGTGATCACACTAGATTAAAAGAAAAAGAAATTTGATGTGTGTAACAGAGAAAAAGAGGTAAGTTTGAATTTGAAATCAGATGCAATGTGTTTTGGGTTTTGTGGATTCCAATTTTAGAACTAGAAAATAGATTCCAGGAAGGGTGACTGAACAGGGAAGAGAGAGGGAAGCAAAGATCAGGTCGGTCAATGGTGCTCGAGTTTTGAGGAGTTACCAACGGTGGGTTATGTTCATTGGTGTCAAAAACCACTAACCACTATGTTCTAATACCACACAAGTCAACCGAGTAGAGGTTATGGAGTTAATGTTCCGTCGTTCTTTTGCTGATGATGGAGGGATAAATTAGGATGAGACCGGATGCAAGTTTATTGGAGAAACCTCGAGTTTTGAGGAGTTATCAACAGTGTCTGTGTGTGAAATATGTATGTGGGTTTTGAAGAGAAAGGGATGGGTGAATGATAACATACATCGGGGGATGCGATACGTCAGAGATGTTCTAGCCTTTTGGGTTTGATCGCTTGTGAGTATGTATTTGTGTGTGTGTATGAGAGAAAGAGAGTTTTACCTATTTTATTATTATTATTATTATTATTATTATTATTATTATTATGTTAATAAAATGTAAAAGTAAATAAATAAAGATATAATTGTTTTTTCAAGTTTTTTGGACTAAAATTACAGAAATTTCTTGATTTTAGACGTTACGTGCAAGTTAAAAACTTTTTGACATAAAGACCAATTTTACAGTTTTATCATGTTTTAAATGAATCCTCTTTGGTCGCTTTTGAGACCTTTTAAAATTTTTTATTCATTTTTCTCCTAACCGGCTCATCATATATTCAAATCAGACCAAAGCTAAAGAAGGTTTATGTAACCAAGACACCCAATATATCATAGCTTCCTCACACCCGTTGAAAAAAAAAAAAAAAACTTGAAATTATAAAAATTCCAATGACCATGGCATCAAACGCCTTCTGTTGGCCACCAACCATCTGAATCGAATCTGCCCAAATGATGATCCAACTAAGTTGGAATTTATGTTTTGTTTGTTTAATCATTAATTAATGGGCAACGATCCAACTAAGTTGTTTCTATTTTGTGTGGATCCACCAAAAACTCTCAAATGAGCTCTAACATACGAGGTGTGTTTAAATGTGATGAAATTGTAGACAAATAATGATGATACGTAATGAAAAGAAATTTAGACTAAACTACCAATCAAATATTAGTTTACACCAAAAGCTTGCTATTTAATATACACACTTTTTACTCCAAAATGATAAGTCGATTCATTAAGAACGTAACTTGTTTTAACCATGACATGAGCGCCTGTCTTGTATCCCCCAACCAATACAACAACCGCAATACCCCTGAAAAAGATTGAATTTTTATGGACATGTTTTTGGTGCAATTTGCTCTATCTATAATTACAAAACACTATATCCCTACAATATAATATTATTTTCTCAGTAAAGGAATTTATGTTATTTTAAGCATTTTATCACATAAATTTGTGGTTTACCGAGTAAGAGCCTGAGTTGAAGATGATTAATTCTTGACATGATTCTGGTCCATACAACAAAATCTGTAATGATAGAGAAAAAAAAAAATTGACAAAATCCAAATTAAAAATGAAGTGAAAGTAGGTTGATATATATTTAACTATTTCAGTTGCTGATAAAAAAAAGGATAATACCAGAATGAAGATTGGGCTTTGAGGATAGACCGTCTAATGCAAAGTTGGCATACACTAGTAGCCGTACACGTGGAGGAGAACCAAGCTTGCTAGTTAATGACCTGATAAGTGCACTGATATGATATCATGCATAAAAATAAAATTAGAAGATATTGCAGGTTAAGGGATAGAAATTGGAATTTCAAGGAAGTAAAATTTGTAGTGATTACTCTGTACGCAATACTGTAAGAAATTGTGAGGGTAAAGATTCCATAAATTCTGATATATTGCCAGCTGTAAGCGATTTCACTTCCTGTTTCAGATTTGTTTTTTCTTCAACCGACATTCCTTTCCCAAAACCAGCTTTGCTGTCCTTCACAAAAGACAAAAGTAAGTGGCTAAATGGTGAGATATGTTTTTTTCTGTATTTTGTGCTAAAATAAAAGTTAAAAGTTAAAAGGAAGGAAGCACCTGTTGATTGTTCTTCCTGTGAAAATGAGGGGAAGATATTTAGCGTATTTCCCGATACCAAAGTGTTGGCCTACTTGTTGGATTTTATGCGAGTCCAAAAGAATCAGTGCTTTCCAAAGTTGGCAATAGTTTACTCTAAATTCTTCATCTAGACTTGTATAGATCCCATGATCAAGAACAACTGCATAATATTTATAATATACATTCACAAACATGCATCTCTCTAAAATATAAAATCAATACAAAAGAAAGTAGTAGGATGTGAAATTTAGTTACCTAAACAAAAGCCTTGTTTTTCATCTGGGGAAACCAGTATATTCCCAGGATGTGGATCTCCATGCACAAAACCATGGACAAATATCATTTCAGCAAATGCTTCCACCAACACTTTTGCAACCTTCAAATAAAACAGTTGTTACTGCTATGCTATGATTTGGGTAGATTTTTAATACTACAATGATGAGTAGACAATTATAAGTACAATCATATATATATAACCTTTTTTGGATCAATTCCCATTTCCTGAATAAATTCCAAATCATCTACCTGAAAGTGAAGGAAGGTATAAAGATATAATTCTTTTTAAATTATGTACACATGAAAATCTTTTAACCCCAAATTCAGTTAGAATAATGTTAGATCCATTTGTTGTTTTAAGGGCCAGGTGGCAATAGATAACAATGCTATAAATCATGAGATACTAACCCTTCGTCCCTTGCAATATTGCATTGTCAAAACCTGGCTAGTGGTTATCTCCTGTTTGTATAAATATGATGATTAGTCTACATAAGATAATATAATATAATATTTATAGCTTTGTTATGTACCCATAAAATGATAAAATACCTGAAAAACCTTGGGGATTCTGATTCTGCTACTATGCTTAAAGTTCATGGCAGTTTTGACTGAATTTCTTGCCTCCTGAATGAAATCTGTAAAGCGGCTCATTTTAGCATATGCCCGGATCAAGGAAAAGAGAAAATCGATTGCCACAATACTTGTATCTTTTTTACTCAATGGATGCAAGGAGGTTTTGAACCCTGTTTCCTTTTTCCTATAAAGTTGACTTGACTCGATAAGTGGTGTCTTTAAAAGATATTCAAGAAAACAACAACACATTTGGGGAAATGGAAGGAAAATACAAACAAGGGTAATTTTGTAAATAGTTAGGACTTAGAAGAGGGAAAGTCTTATTTCCTAAACTTTCTCTATTAAGTCGTCCTTTTTGCATTCACTCAAAAAAAACACTCATTATATATCATGGAAAAGAGGCTTTCTCCATTAAATCCAACTTTTTACAAATTTGCCCTCTATCCAGACAGCCTTATCAAGAATTAGTGAAGCTCACCAAGTTCCAAAGCAATCACCTCTGAAAATTCTGATACCATCCATTGAAACCGATATTCAGGAAAAAACTGTAGAAAAAAGACAAGCATGGATCTTTAAAAAAGATAGGAGACTACAAAAAAGGTATATCATTTTGTAATTATGAAAGTATAATAATGTTTTATTAAGGGTTAAGGTCACCCAACTTTTTTCTGTAAATAGTAAGCCATGTGGACTCCACATTGCGTCTTAGTTGCCACCTCATCAATGAATAATCATCAAATGAAGTCGCCTTTTGTCCAAAAAAAGATGAAGCTTGACCCTTTAGTTTACAAGAAAACTTTTATAAATAAAAATCTAAAATATGAACATGAGTCATACCCATGTGACACATTTGGAGAGTAGAGACATGGTTGCAATGTCCATTCTCATCCGATTTTTCAAACCAGGATATTGGACCTTCATTCAAAACATAAAAAACTCAACTCTTAGCAGCTTCAAATAAGATTATACTTTGAAACCAAAATAAAAAGTCATAATCATAATCAGTTTTTTGTCAAACACTCCAAATAACAACATACGTATATTTATCCGTTTACTATAGCATTCTACTTTCATTGTACTTTGTAAGAGCTACCCAATTATAACAATATCATCCAAAATTCAAATACAAAGCAATTCCCACTACTCTAACTGGATAATTGTCTATAAGTACAATGTCTCAAATAACTTGATAGATTTTCAAATGCCTTCATAAGAAAAAAAGTTGAAAGTACAATGCTTTAAAGTAGGATGCTATAACAAACAAATAAACAAAAGTACACTTTTATGATAAATGAAAATACATGCTATTTCTTGCATTAGAGAAATACTGAGATGATAAATGTTTGTGACCAACCTTAAGCACTACTTCTTGATGGTTTTTCAATAATGCACGATGCACTTGAGCTATGGATGCAGCAGCAATAGGTTTTTCATCAATAGACAGAAAACTGATACACCATACATGGAATCAGCTATTAAAAAATTTGTATATACTTAAAGATAATCTTTATTTTTAGAAAGATAATCAAGAATATACAAACTAACCCATCCATTAGGGAATAGGAATAACTTACATCTCTTTTAAGTCTGACCCAAGATTGCTGATTAGTACTTCTTTTATAGCTTCAAAAGAACATGGAACTGCCTAAAGTCATAAGAATCACATATTAAGTGAAAACTAAAACCAATGATGCTGAAAACAACGCATAACAACATGAATGACTTACTGACTGTGTTAATTCGGGTTTATTGTAGGTTAAATTCATAGTACACTTCAAGAACATATTAAATTGTGCAAAGTAATTTTATTATCTTTAAGATTATGTTATCGAATAAACTCAACAGGCCTATGTTTTTAGTTTTTACACAATAGAGGATTGTTTTCGCACAATAACAGGTAATGAGGACCTGATCCTGCAATGATGCAAGAGTAGATGAGTATTCTTTGGGAACTTGTCGCATGGATGCTACAAATTGACCAGCTTTGATGTAGAACCCTTGGTTGATTTCACATAATTTTAATATCCTCTTGGCTGAGCGTAGATGAACCTGAATTGAAAAATATGGATGATATTGATATATCAGACATCGTTCTACTTTCAATGATGGCATTGCTACTCTTACGTTGAGTTTTCAAAGTGTGATAGGAAGAAATGAAAGTAGGATCTACAATAAACAGATCAATGGAAGTACAGTGATAATTTTCCATTTACTCCGTGATGAAATGCAACAAAGGTAACAGGGCAACGGACTTCAAAGTTATTCAAAATTGCCGATAGTAAAGAAGTAAATAAGACGAAAAGCAAGAACCTCAGATAAAATTCTTCTATATTCATCTGTATCCGGCGATAACCCTTGTAACGAGTACTTGTAGTCGACAACATTCGCAGTAATCTGCAAATCCCCATACGCAACTAATTAAACTATTTTGTACACCTGATATAAACAATTGTCACTAGATTCGAAAATTAAATTATCGGATTGTTATACGCAATATGTAAGAGTGTGAAGAAGGAAACAAACAGTATAGAGAGAGCGAGAGGACCGAACGGCACCGTTCAATGAAGTAGCGATGTAGTAGAGAGGAGAGCGTCGATCAGAGTGCGAGGGGAACAGGTGAGGGTTTAGAGTATGGTGGTAAGTAAGAGCAGCGGCGCCGGTGGCGGAGATGATGAGAAGGTAGAACGGTTTTTTCCTTGGTGAGGTGCCGAAAACTCTGGAGACGAAGGTTGTCCTCATAGAAAGCGGGACGGGCTTCCGGTGCTATTGCCGCCGGTGGTCTGTCCGGAGGTCAGCGGTTCTAATTGAAGTCAAACTGTGTAGTAATTTTTAGGCTTATATATCATTTTGGAGTTGGACACTCAACTTAGTATTGTTTCTCATTAGATCACCAAGGTATCTCCCATCGTATAATTGTCCCTTACTACACACATCCATATCTTAGTGTTTAGTTGATATAATTAACAGCTATTATATTGTTTTATATTGATTGTAATGTTATTAAAATAAATTGCAAAAATTATTGTATTAAATTAATTAGTAACAAAAAGGTTTTCTATTATTTTAGGTTTATAGTTTGTGGCAAACCGGTTAAACAATAAGTTGAAGCCTTAATATTATTTACTAGGTGTGAGATTCATATATTACATAAGTTTATTTAAAAGAAAAACTACATACAAAATTCTAAACATTTGAAAATTTTGAATTTCTAAGAAAAGTGAGAAAATATTGAATTATAAAAATTAAAGTGTTTTTTTCTCTTTTAAATTTAAACAAATCTTCATTTTCCTATTCTAATAAAATAATAGTTTTATTCTCCTTATGACATGTGTCACCCTATTAGACATCTTAATTAATGTATATTCTATTTTTCTTTTGTCGTGTGACACTTTATTATGTCTCCTAATTAATACATACTACTTGTCAACCTATGGATTTTTCATTTTAAATTTCAAATTTCTCTCTCTAAGTAAATTAAATTAATAACATTAATATAAAATTAATACAAATTATAAAATGATATAATTTCACATATTTATTTAAATCAATGATTATAATTTTATATAACTAAAAAATTTCCTAATTAATAATTTATTTAATATAATTGATTAATAATTTTAAAATTTTATTATAAAAGTTTAATTATTTTTATAACCGTGGTTCTCACGGGTTATACACTAGTAATTTAGATAAATAAATAAAGAAAATTAATGAACTTTTAATTTAGTATTTTTGAAATTAGAATGAAAGATCATTAATAAAATTGATATGTATTTATTATTGCATTTAAATTTAAATACTATTTGGAACGTAATGAAATGAAAAAAAAAATAAAAAATAAAATAACATGTGAAATAAAAATTAATGTAAAATAACCATAAAATTACATATGATAAAATAAATAAGAATGTGATATGTTGTAAAAAGATCCTTATTTATTAGGGATGATGAAAAGAGAAAGAGAAATAACCTTTTGTGATCTTTATTTTTTCTAAATTTTGGATAAACCTATAATAAATTTCTAACTATTTCTTTTATCCTCCAATTTTACAACATTTCTTGCATCAAGATTTATAATCTCGAAGCTTTATGATATCTCATTTCAAATTGTATCAACATCTACCCCTTTTAAAATAAATCATTTGATTAACTTTCTTATCCCTTCCGATGACATGCTCAAAGCATGCATGTTTGTTTTTTGATTTCATATATATATTATATATATATATATATATATATATATATATATATATATATATATATATATATATATATATATATATATATATATATATATATATATTTCATGAATTAACTTTTCACACAGTTTTATCTAATTAGGTATTGATAATATTCAAATTGATATTTTGATTGGACTGTTACATATATTGTAAGAAATATAGTCTTTTAGATACTTTAAAATAAATATTCTATTAATAAGAATATTAAAGTAAGATATATATGATGAAGGTGTGTTTAAAGTAAACATGTATCATGGTGGATAAGAATTCTCGTGTACGTACCTTAGTGGCATGCATATGGCGTTACATGAAGAATTACGTACACCACGTCACAATAATAATAACCATGAAAAGTAGTATAAATAGAAGCAATCCTCTATACATTTCGAATTTGGCTTATTGTCTCATAAAATATTCACTGAACCTTCTCTATTTTCTTGGAGTTATTTCTTCACTTCAAGGTCCCCCCCCAGCCCCGATCACTTTCACATGGTGTTTATCGTCAAAAATAAAAACACGCTACAATGGTGAGTTTCATTGCCCCATTTTAAAAAAATTATCATTTTTCGGGGAAGGATACATGTTTTTATATAATTTATTTATATAAATTGTAAATTGTTTATATCACTTATATACCGTTAAAATAGTTGTTTAAGTTTAGTAAACACTATCGTTACGCTACCCACATAATATAAAAACACGCTATGAGGGTGAGTTTCACGGCCCCATTTTAAACTTTTTATCATTTTTCGGGGAATGATACATGTTTTTATATTATTTATTTATATAAATCGTAAATTGTTTATATCGTTTTATATAATTTAGTTACATAATCGTTATAACAATTTACCGTTAAAATAGTTGTTTAAGTTTAGTAAACATTATCGTTATGCTACCCACATAATATAAAATTATATATGTATTGTTGTTATTCTGCCCACATAATATGAATTATATTATGCATTGTCGTTACTCTGCCCCACATAATATAAAATTATATTATGCATTGCCATTAATCTATGAATAAAATTATTACACACTGTTGTTACTCTGCCTATTTAAGTTTTACAAAATTATTTAACGATATAATTATAAAAATCTTTATATAACTATATAATATAAACCGGTAAACATAAACATGAAAAGTTAAAATACTACAACTTTTAGTGTTACTCGTTCAAGGGTTTACATAGGGGTGTGTATGGGGCGGTTTGGTTCGGTTATCGGTCAAAACCGAACCATAACCATTATGATTGGTTAATGCATTTTGGTAGCCATTGGATATGGTTAATATTGGTTATGGTTAATGTTTTTGTCGGTTAACGATTTTGGTTAATGGTTAATATTGGTTAGCCATAATGTTCAAAATAATATAAATGGCGAAAGTATAGTGGCATAAAAAATGGAAAGAGAATACAAAAAGTCATTGGCACCAATGTGTGTAACCTAGCTTATAGTAATAGAATAAAATGTGTACATTTGATACTCATAGTGAAATAACACATATTCACATTCAAAATAAAAAACATTCAATAAAAAATATAAAAAATTAAAAAATTTGACATTAATAAATTCGTGTATTGATAATTGATATTAACATTAAAATAAAGTCAAACATTCATACATGTTCAATGCGATTAAATCAAAAAGTATAAAATAAAATAGCTAAACATTTATATTACGTGTTATCTGGATAAAAAAAACAATCACTTATATACATTCAATATGATTAAGTAAAAACAGTAAATAAAAAAAGTAATTTTTTTAGAAAAAATACATTCTTAATATATCATAAAGTGAAGAAGAACTAAAAACTTAACTTACCTAAGAGTTTTGATTATAAATTAATAAAATCATTCGAATAGAACTATAAAGTTAAAACAATCTTTGACTAGGATTAACGGTGTGAGAATCCTCCGATGAGGATTATGAGTGTGAAGATTAAATTAATTGTGAATAATGTTTACAAATTATAGAATTTGCCGATTAGGAATTACAGCATTAATCAATAATATAACTCAATGCATGATTGAAAAATTGTGTGTGTCTGCATAATCTACATGATCATCCTTTTATGGTTTGATTGCATGTTGATCTCTTGATAAGTGAAGATTAATTAATTATATTTTGGAAATTTAATGAGTTTTAAATAAGTTTGACTATATTATTTTATATATAATCCATAATTTTTATGCATTAAAATATAAAGTTAGCATTTCGGTTAATAATGGTTCAGTTAACCTATAAAACCGTAATCGAACCGTTTGTTATCAGTTAACAAAAATTAGAAACCGAACCAACGGTTTTTAAAACGGTTCGGTTATTATGGTTCGGTTATATCGGTTAATTTGGTTATGGTTCGGTTTTTCGGTTATTATGCTCACTCCGTTTACATGAGACACATTCATCACCTACGTGTAATACTTAGCAAAGTCTCATACCTATAATCTTTAAATATTAAGTGAGCGGAAGAATTATATATAGATCTATACGGGTTGACATCCCACCTGCAGTTGCTAACTACAACCATCGACGGTCAAGTCACGAGTGATAACTGTCTAAACACTATGATGTTCGATGAAGCGTCGTGAGGGGCAATAACTTGTCAGTAGGTTAATTATGGGAACTCATGAAACATTAATAATCACGCCTAAAGCAAATAAAAATATAAGTTTGAAAATACTTATAAACAATAAAACAAGTACTTTTCTAGAAATAAAGTACACGTATAATATAAGTTTGAAAATACTTATATATGATAAATTATCTATAATTTTTGGAATAAAAAGTACGTTAATACAAATATAAAAACATATGAACTAAACAACTTTATGTTGACATTTTTAAATCACATGTATTCTCAGGAAAATAAGAGTCAGCCGTTTCAATCTTTTGGGAAACATTCATGGGATCGCCGAAGCACTCTTCATCTCTATTGTACTTACCTGATTAAGCACTACTTGTAATTTTTGGTTTCTTGTATTCTAAAAGCTTAGTATGATATGTAATATATTTTGTAATATAAAAATAACATTTGTGTTATAATTTTGTATTGTTCAATGTAAACAATAACTGTAGACCATAATGACGTCGCACAAGCTCCGCATTTCAGCCGTCGGCCGGGGGTGTGACATAATCCGTTCAGCCTTCAATTTCAATTATTACAGAAGCTTAAGGGGACCCTAATGGTCCATAAAAATTCTTGCTTTATGGACATGCATGTACCATGCATGTCCCTACACCATTTAAGGTCAAAAGTAGAAATATGGCCTCAAGTTCTCATGCAAGCTTCTAATACTCTACCAACTTCCAGATCTCAATGATATAAGACTCAAAAGACCAATTGAATCCATAAAAGTTTCTAACTTTATGGATCTTCTTCACTCCAACAAGCTATAACATAAGGAAATAGGACCAAAAACCTAGATCTAACCATGAAATGAAATAAAGCTTGAGTCTTGATACTTATAATGGTTCAAATAAGAGAAGAGTTGATGACAATGATGCTTCCTTGCAACTCCCTTCACAATGGTGCTTCTTCTCTTTCTTTATTCTACTTTAAACTAGCAAAACACTAAGGATCTCAAAGAGGGTCGAATTTAGGGGTTCAAGAAGCCATAGAGGGTGAAAGAGGCTGAGGATGTGCAACCCTAGCCTCTCATTACTTTAAATACCCA